TTCCCATCTCTCACAGCATAGGGTTGGACTAGATGTCCTCCGAGGGTGCCCCAGCTCTGAGGTCCCCTGGGCCTGCATCCTTAGTCGCGTCATCTCTCGGCCTCTGTTTCCTCACCTGAGTAATAGGGGCAGGAGCATGTGCTCAGCCTGCCTGGCTCAGCTCCCAGGGCAGCTGTGAGCAGGTGGTGTGGCCTGTGCATGGGAGCAGGTAGGAAGTGGGTAGTGTGCAAACAGGACACGCGCTTGCTACCCACACACTCCATGCATGTGTGTGTGTGTGGGGGGGAGGGGGCTGCTGGAATGCAGATGGGATCCATGTCCCTCCAGCCCCTCTGAGCCCCGTGACCTAGGTGGGGAGTCACTTCACTCTCAGAGCCCCCATTTCCTCACCTGCACAGTCAGGTTACTGTGCCCGCCTCGCCGTCTCAGATAGCACCGAGCAGTAGGTATGTGGACAGTATCAGAAATCCAGTAGCACGGGAACCCCCACCCCAATCCCTACCACCTTTTTTTCAGTAAGGAAATTGAGGAAATGATTTGTCCAATGTCAAGTTCTCATGTTCCCCAGGTTCCAATTCTGGATGACTCCATACTACAAGTGCCCTTGATTTTAAACTTAACAACATAGAAACCATACAAATCGGCAAACGTTGCCCACTTCAAATATAGCTTTGCGCTGTCCTCACACACCCTCACAGTGTCCTGGAGGTGCCAACACTTCAGCATCCACGTAGCAAGTGGACTCTACACCTGAAGGTGGCACAACAGTCCCTTGCCAGGCCACCTGCCCTAGTTTGCAATTCAGTATATGTAGTCAGTATATAAATACTCTATAAATGACAATGCCTAGATATTTTTTAAAAAAGAAATGATTTAAATTTTAAAAAATGAAAACACTATCTTGAGAAAATCATCTCTACAGCAAATATAGAAACCTGTCATCAGTATCATGAGGGCATGAAAGGTCCATTCCCACCTGATGACAGCAAGCTTCAGAGAAATACTAGTTTTGCTTTTCCAGATTGAGGCAGATTGTTAAGGCTGGCTCTGAAGACATTAGCTCAGAATGGTAGGAATACTAACGATAGCACCTAACACTTATGCAGCTCACACTATGTGTCATGAACTGTTCTAAGCTCTTTACATATGTTGATTTATTTAAACTTCATCATTATTGTCCCCGCTTTACAGATGAGGAAACTGAGGCCAGAGAGGTTAAAGTAATTTGCCAAAGGTAGTATGTGATAGAGAAAGAACTTGAATTCAGGCATCTCTGTTCTAGATACTGTGCTCTTAACTAATATATAAACCACCAACTGCTAGTGCCAGGGTCTCGAATCCACCCATGCCAGGAACGGAGAGGATAATAGTACCTGAGCTCTTATCCAAGAAGTAGGCCAGGAGGCACCGCATGACAGCCTGGTGGCAGATCACCAGAACATTTTCCTGCCGTTCTAGTTCCATTATAACTGGCTCCAGACGCTGAACCAGATCCTCATAGGACTAAAAATAAGAAAAACATTTGGGTAAGAAAGGGAGATGAGGTACATTTGCCCAGAGGAGAGGAACTCTAGACTAAGGATCAGGAAAACTTAGATGTGGTGCCACTTGCGTTGTTGACCCAGCAGTATGACCTTAGGCAACTCACTTCCCTCTTAGGGTCTTGGTTTCCCATCTATTAAATGGGGAGCAATCAATATATTCAACTAGATATCAATAACAATAATAAAACTTCCCACTACAAAAAATTACTCGAAAAGTTAGATAAAATAAATGCCTGCATTGCTGACTTTTCAAGAAAATAAGGGAAACATTATAAATATAGGGTTCCAAAATGAAGAAAACCTTCGTAAAAAAGAGTGATAAGTGGATGTAGAGGCCACAACTGCCCTGGGGATATTTGTCAATCACATTATCCAAAAGACTTGAGTTTTTAAAACCTTATAGAGACAGAAGACAAGGCCTTAGGTATGCATGAGGTAGGGAGTTGGGACTGAAATTCTCAAATAAACCTGAGACCCTCAAAGGGCTACACCTTCAACAGAAGTATGAACTAGAAAAAAGTATATATAAGCAAAAGGAAACAATAAAAACCTATATCTGTCTCTGTTTGACTCTTAGTACAAAAAATTAGAAAATGCCTCCTACAAGAATGTACAACCATAAGTCTACCCTCAATGGATTTGAGGTTCAGAATTACACTACCCATGTGTTTCAGGAAATGCTAAGCTGAGAGTTTAATGAAAAGTGATTTCAAGTTGTTAGCTCCTAGGAGTGTCTAGAAGAAGCAAATAAAAATTTTCTCTGGATTTTCTCAACTCAGACTGCATGGGATTGTCACAGATAAATTTTTGCCAAACTGAGGCTAATATAATATGCAAGGAAAATAAACTATCATGAGTGAAAATAAGCAGGAAAAAAACCCTGAGAGGAGAACCTTAAAAACTTAAGATAAATAATCCAGAATATAAAACAAATATGTTTAAAATTTTTAAAGAAATAAAAGATGGAGTAAAAAATGGAAGGAAGAAATAAGATGCTAGTAAATACATGATGTAGATTTGAAACAGAACTAAATAGAATTCTAGAAACAAAAAATATATATTCATTAAAACTGAAGTCTCAACGGATGGAGTAAACAGAAGTTTAGATACAACTGAAGAAATCAAAATTTGGAAGACAAAGCTGAAGAAATTTCTCCAACTGCAGCAAAGAGATCAAAAACAAGGGGAAAAAGTTAGGAGACCTACAGAATAGAGACAGGACAAATACACATCTAATTGTATTTCCAGAAGGAGATAGTAGAGAACATATGAGAGAGAAATAGTTAAAGATATAATGTCTAAGAGTTTTTCTAGAATTGATAAAGAATTCCAATTCTCAGATTCAGGAGTCCAACCCAGCAATATAAATAAAAAGAAATTAATATTTAGACATATCAGAGTGGAACTCAAAAGCAATAAAAATGTGACGACCCTAAAAATAGCCAGAGAGAAAAGAAATATCAATTAGACTGATAGGAGACTTCTTAGCCACATTAAAAGTCAGAAGACAATGGGGGTAATATCTTCAAAGTGTTGAGAGAAAACAACTATGAACCTAGAGTTTTATACCAAAAGTATCATTTAGGACTGACCTCCTCCCACCCCAAGACCTTTTTAGACAAAAATGGTGAGTTTATTACCAACAGATCCTCCTAAACAAACCTCTAGAGGAAAATGGAAACTGAACCCAGAGGGAAAACTTGAGATGCAAGGAGAAAAATTGACCGAGGGATTGATAAACATGTGGTTAACTACAAACAAACTGTATACGATAATAAAATTAATAATAATAATATGAATTCATTTGAAGATTAAGACACAAGGTTGGACTAAAATACAAAACAATAGATTTATTCCAGGGATGCAAGGCTGGTATAACATCCGCAAATCAATAAATATGATATATCACATAAACAAAATGAAGGAAAAAAATCATATGATCATATTAATAGATGCAGAAAAAACATTTGACAAAATCCAGCACCCATTTCTGATAAAAACTCTCAGCGAAGTGGGAATAGAGGGATCATATCTCAACATAATAAAGGCCATATATGACAAACCTACAGTCAACATCATACTCAATGGGCAAAAACTAAAACCATTTCCCTTAAAAACAGGAACAAGACAGGGGTGTCCACTTTCACCACTCTTATTCAACATAGTAC